AGGTAGGAAAAAATGGGACAACTGTAATAGCATAAACAATAAAATATATTTAAAAAACAAAATATCCAAATCAATAAAGTTATTGGTGAAAATAAAAATAAATGAATAAAATAGCTAAGATTTGGAAACAGCCTAACTGCCCATCAATAGATGAGTAGATAAAAAAAAATCCTATGGTACTTTTACACAATGGAATACTATATAGCAGAAAGAAAGAATGAATTCCTTCACTTTGCAACAGCATGAGTCAACTGGAAATGAGTGGAACTGGAGACTATTATGCTAAGTGAAATAAGCCAGGCAGAGAAAGATAAACAGCATATGATCTCACTCATAAGAGGAATTTAATGAACAAAATATACTAAGGAGCAAAATAATACCGGAGGCATAGCAACATGGAACAGACTGACAGCGTAAGGGAGGAGGGGGTAGGTGGGGACTGATAGAAAGAAGATGAAGAGGTTAGTCAAAGAACATATATGAAAGACCCATGGACATGGACAATGATGAGGGGACTGATTATGGATGTGGAGGGGTTGGGCTGGTTAGAGGGGGGCAAAGGGGGAAAATATGGGACAACTGTAGTGGCATAAACAGTAAAATATTTTTAAAAAGAAACCATGGAGATGTCCAGTGTGCTGGCACATGGAATCTGGACAGCAGAGTTGAAGTAGCATAGCACTGTAAAGAAGGTAAAGACCATGCATACCATTGACAAAAGCAACAAAGACAAATATGTAGAAATAACCCCAAAAAGAAATGTCAAAGATAGTTATGAAGAAAACATCACCAAGTGTCAAAAAGGATCTAAATAAATATGCCTAAGTGGGAAAATTGTAGATGCCAATCCTTGCCAATTAATCCATAAACTAAGTATAATTTCAATCAAACATAAAAAAATTAATTCTGCAATAAATAATACTGGTATAATGAATCATACATTTAGAGAAAAATTAGGCACAAAGTCTACCTCAAACTAAATGTATACACACATGCAAACACAAAAACACACTACTAGTAGGTTAAAGGGGCTAACACTAAAAAAGAAACTATTTTGGAAGGAAATATAGGTAAATGTTTTCTAATAAACTTAGAGTGTGAAAGATTATCCTAAATAAAATGAAAATATAAAAGTCCAACAGGACTTTTTTTCCTAAACATACGAAAAAACCTTGCTCTTCTCTCACATAAATAAAGACATTTTGATGTGAGAAGAAACCAGGCCCCAGTTTCCAATGGTGCTAAATGAACAGTGTGAGGGTTACAAAGTCTCCTGTGTGCCAGAATATGTCTTGACAATGAACCTGGGGCAAAAACCTGCTCACAAGCACCAACATACCCCTCCCTGCCATAGACTACCCAGGGGTCTGAGTTTACTAAGTCAGAGGTTCTTCGGAGAAAAGAGTGTGCCTCAGGAGGGATGTTATCACTAGGAGGCCACAGAAGGAATGCTCAGCTGGATGCATGAGGATCCCAGAATGTGCCACTCTGCAGCATAAGAGTGTTGTGATAAATGATGCTGGGTTAATTGGCTATGCATTTAGGATAAGAAGTCAAGTTGGATCACTACCTGCCAAAGAGTGGAGGGAAATGACAGAGTGTGAGGTAGTGCATGCAGCATGTGTAACAGACAAGGGATTGGCCAAGGGATTGGCAAGACTGTGCTGGACTCAAGAGTGGCACCCATCTGGATCTTAGACCAATCAGTGGCCCCTAGAAGGGGGCAGGGAACAGGGAACAGGGAGCAAGTCCTCCATACAGCTGTCACTCTTAGCCAAATGGTGATATGACAGCGTTTAGATTGATTTGGTGAGGATTATGCCTGTTTGTGGGTGGTACCTCAAAGGGAGGGGATTGTGGTTGAAAGTGCTTTCTAGAGTGCCATACAGGGCCATGGTGAGAATGTAGAGTTTGAGACTGGATGCATCAACTGGGAAACTGGATATCTGCAACCTTGCCTACACTTTTGTGGGGGATGGGGGCTGTGTGTGTGAAACCATAGAACCCCTGGGAGAAGTAGGAGGCTAGGGAGGGGCACTGGAAATTAATGTGGTATCTACAGGCATCAAATGTAGATGTAATAATGAGATGAAAAGAAGAAAAGCCAAGGCCCTTTCTGGGATTAAAGGCAGTCGACCTATGGCAACAGCTCCAGAATTACACAAGAGACAGTTTAGGCTGGGGCACACCCATTAGGGCAGGGCACCTCCCCACAGAGAGTGACAAGGTCAAGCTTTGATGACCATATCAAATGTTTACTATTGGGAAACCCAGAAAGAATCTCTGTTAGTTGCAGCAGGCAGGTAGGTTAAGTTTTGTGCTTGGAGGTCCCTTGCTGTTTCATTTTGAATTCAGTGTGAGAGGGGGCACCATAGTCTTTCCAGTGCAGAGAGCCTCTGATTATCTTAATCAGACCCTGACTGACATGCATGCTCCCAGCTACCCTCCACATTCCCCAGCAAAATCCACTGGGAACTGGGCTTCTGCCCTGGCACAGCAGCCCACCAAGGAATAAAAGACAGATCAGGGGCCTGAACTTCCACACACAGGGAGTGTCTTTGAAAAGGCAGTGCCAGAAAATGGAGCAGAGGCCCTTGACTTGGGCCGCACCATGCAGTCACTTCAATGCTGGTAGCCCCCCCTGTGACAGAAGTAGGCAGAAAGTCTCCGAGGCCCTCCCTGCATTGGGAGTCAGTTGTGGCCTGCAAGCACCAAGTGTCTGCCTCAGAGATGGGGGGAAGCTGCTTGAGGCAGGACAAAAAGAGGAATTTAGCAGAGCACAGAACGGGGAGGTATGTATTAATTTAGGACTCGGAGACAAGAGGAAGGGGAAAACCCTCTGCCTTTGTGCTGAGATTAAAGAGGCTGAGTAGTAAGGTGTCACTGACAACAGCATGGGCCAAGCTCACTGCACAGGAACAAGTGGAGGCAGGAGCTGTCTGCAGGGCAATCTTATGTGGAAAACAGATTGCCCAGCCCACCTGAGGCTTGCTTGGGAGTAGAAGATGGTCATATTAGCAGCTCTTAAGAATCAAATCAGAGCCCCAGAGCCAACAACAACAACAACAACAACAACAACAACAACAACAACAACAAAACCCAGGGGCATGATCCTTGTTGGTGGTGTGGTGTCAATGCAACTTCAATCACATGCCAGCCGTCCAAGGCGCCAGGACCTGGGAAGAGGTAGCATGCCCACTCCTGGTTGGAGGATCCTTGAGATGGCCTGGGGACCTGACAGGCACCCATGCCCACTAGACAGTTTGAAGCAAAGGACATAGGTACAAGCAGAAGAGCTGCAACCTACCTGCAGCCCCAACTCTGGGAGAAGGGAGAAAAACTATGCTCTCTACAGAAAATAGGCAGGAGGAAGAGCACTTAGAGAGCATTGATGCGTGGGGAACAGTGGCCCAGAGTAGCATCCCAGGAGACCAGGAGAAGGCACCAGGCACAGAAGCAGTACTGTCCAAAGGAAGCTTCTTGTCCACTGAGTTGTCCAGAGCTTTGAGTGACAGAACCATAGCTTGACACACCCAAAACATGCAGGGAACCTAGCTTTGGTGACACAATGTCTAAGGCTTGCTGACACGAGTCTGGAAATGAGTTGCTTATTTCCATGGAGTGGTTCAGTGGGCAGGGTTGGGCTCTTTCTTTCCTCTAAGGGGTGTTGAGAGCTTGGATGGAGGGGAGGAAGTGTATCCTTATCAATGGACCAGCCACAGCCATTCCAGGCACCCTCAGCATCTACCATACAACCCCCACAGGAAGTTTGTAGAGAACTCCACTCTCCTCTTCTTGGATCTCACTGAAGGTACCAAGGATGGTACAAAAAGGTAGTTCCACCAAGGGAAGCAGGGGCCAACCAACTCTTCTCACTCTGCCAGGAATTTAGCCTTGGGATCCCAAGGAAGGGAGAGGGCCTGGAAGTAGGTTTAACAGCTACTTCCCAGAAGAGAGAGAATAACACAAAGCAGGCATGAAGCAAGTGGAAACCATTATTGCTGTAATCGTCCATTAAATGCACAGGGATGGGTTGCCCAGTGGCCCCCAGGGATGTGTAGATGAGCCCAAGGATACTGACATTTTGCTATAGACTGACAGTCAAGTAAGACAGCTTCATCGAGGGATTTCTCGTGCCAGGTGCCAGGCACTGTGCAGCCTGCTTCACAGGTGTTGTCTCTTTCAGTCCTCCCAAAATTTTATCCTAATTCCACCAAACCCCCTTCACACCTCCACCTACCCCCAACCCTTTGTTGAGGTTTATACTGAACACTGAAGCCCATCTCTACCCCTGCCTCTTGTGAGAACTGATAAACATGCATTTGTCAGAGCAAATGCCTCCCTCCCTCCCTCCTCCAGCCCACCCAGCTAGTTATCACTTATACTGTAGTTTGTCTTTCTCTTCATGCAGACTGTCAAATCAAGAACAAGTACCATGTCTCATTTTTGCCAGTCAAAGCACACAAGTTTATTGATGAAACATAACTGTAGACTTGGGATGGATGAGGTTAAGTCAGTACAGCACATAGAAAAGGAGTGCTCTTTTCTGATGAATAGGTTCACCATCCATCAGCTGGTATAGAAGCAAGAGTCAACAAAAAAATTCAACTTATGTAGCAACAAATGCATTCCCAACACAAAACAGTCCAGTTTAGACAGGGAGACCACCACAGGAAAGCATCCTTCATGATGCTTTATCCACAGCTGGCAAATGAAATGAGCCCTTTACCACAGGAATAAGTGAGGGATTAATTTACAATGCACATTGCCTATAGACTTCAAAACCAAGAAGTTACTCAAAGCTCTGTGGGAATCCCACCCAGGCCAATAAGAGCGTGGTCCTTGATTTAGCAAGTCTAACTTTCACACCATGATGTGGTGATTGGTTAAGGCTGGATCTTCTATAGCACCCACTGCAAAGTCTTTGAATGAGAACACAAAAGTGTGTTCATGAAACAGGTTTTGGGTAGATTCAGTCCCACTCTGTTCAAGGCGAACATTTAAGAGGACAGGGTGTCCAGGAGAACCTGTCTCTTTCTGTTCCTGATAAAGAGAAACATGAATGAGAGCAGCATTTGGGGACCCAGCAATTTCCCTGCGAGACTGGCTTTTTAGGCAAACTCATCAACAGTTTCAAAACCTGAACCTCAGCACATCCACTTTCCTCTGATATCAAAGGAAACCTCAGGTCTAAATGGACTTGGCAAGCATGTTATTAATAATTGTCATGCTTATTAAAAAATTTAATTCTATGTGCTGCAGAAATCAGTTGCAGCAATGTGATGCAGTTTCCTGGCACAATTCACTGATGAACATCTTAATCTGATACTGATTTTCCATACTGGTATCCACATTATCCAGGGCACATAAAGCCTCCTTAATTGTGGGATTGGGAGTGGGGATCAGGTTTCCAACAATGGAGACACTGACCAAATGACGATTGATATTGTGGCTAAATGAAAAACTAGCATCCTTGGGCTGAGCAAAACACGTTTCCTTGAATGAAAGGACACTTGAAAAAATCAAGAGCACAACTGAAAATTTTAAAGCTTTTAGCACTCCAAGTATTTTTGTGTTCATATGGGAATGGACGCTGTCTTTTTGGGTGTGTTCGATTTGCCTTGCCCCCACCTGTAGGTCTGTGCTCTGTTCCACCAGGTGCAGTCCAATCCCCATCCTCATTCCAGGGCCGAGCCATAGTTGTGAAATCAAACCACATCTCAGGCTCCTCCTCATCCAGTTCTTGGTCATCTTCCCATTCCTCTTCCTCCTCCTCCCATTTCTCTCTGTAATCTCTTCCTAAGGTTAGTTTGTAAACACAGTAGCAGGCACCAGCCCCAATCATCAGTCCTGCTGTCATCCAACCCACTTCCTGAGCCCGTCCCATGTTCAAGTCTGTGCCAGCCTTGTGACAGGACAAAACCTGAATGAAGAGGAATCTTAGGGCCAACAACTGTAATTGTGGAAAGTAGTGGTCTTCAGCCTCTCCCAGGCTCCTGTATTTCTCTTGTAATGAATCTATGGGTAAAAAAAAAATAGTATTAGGGCTTTGGGCTGTGCCTGACCAAACAGAGTGGAGTTTGAGTTCTGGCTGAGAGAGGTGGGTTATTAGGAAACTATTTCTCTCTCTCTCTCTCTCCCTCTCCCTCTCCCTCTGTGTGTGTGTGTGTGTGTGTGTGTGTGTGTGTGTGAGAGAGAGAGAGAGAGAGAGAGAGAGAGAGAGAGAGAGAGAGAGAGAGAGAGAGATCCTCTCTCTATCCTCAGGATCCATATTTCTCTTACAGGTCCCAGAGAAAAGGGTAGGAGTTGGGGTTGTGCTATGATAGCTAGGAGGATGACATGGAGAAGCTAACCCTCAGGTAATCTCCTCCTACACCACATCGCTACCCCCAAAGATTCACAGGCAGTTTCTCCCACCAGTCTCTACCAAAGCCAGGTAAATTCTCCTTTCCTTGTCTTCTGTTGTCGGTGCTCCTTCCACAGTGATTGATGGACAGGTTGGCAGAAGGGCAGATGGAAAGGCAGTGAAGAACTGAAAGTGCAGTGCATGGATCAGCACTTAAAACCCAGGTCCCAATACTCACTTTTCAGAATTTTCAGCTTTTGATTTGAAAGGATTTCTCACATCTCTAGGCTTTCCTTATCCGGGCTTCCCCTACCTCTCTTCTACCCGCCTCTTGTTCTCTCCCATTTCCCCAGCATAGGCTGCCACACCCCCTTCCATGCACCGAATTGGGAAGAAGTGTGGAGAAAGAAGGGGCCGGGAGAGAGCGACTGGGACTGGCCTGCAGGGATCCCAACCCTCTCTCCTGCGCCAATTCCACCCAGGATCCAGGGCTCATCCCACCCTCACGTTGACCTGCAGAGTTCCAAGACAGTTTGCTCCTCCCCTCGCCTCGACTTTTGCAGTGACCTATGGGCCAACAGACTTACAAACCTGCAGACAGACTGGGGACGGAGGAGACAGAGTGCTTGGTGGACTGAGCAGGGCTCGGGATAAGAGTGCCCTGATTGTGGACATTTTCTTTCCTCGCTGTCTCAGTAACCACCATTCACTCCCCTCACCACCCTGCAGGAAGCCTGACAGTTCTCTACTAAAATGGGTACAGGGATTGGCGAGGGTGGAGCTGGTATTTATAAAGGCAGTGAGAAAGGGATACAGCCCCAATCAGTCGGAACCTGGATCAGTGGCGCTCTTGGTGCTCTCCCACTCTCACCTCTCTCCAAGCAGAGCTCACACACACGCCCACCGACCTGCACAGTCCGAGGCTAGCTTCCTCCTTCTTTCAGAATCCTGCAGAATAATAGAGGGTTGGTATCCAGACAGAGGCGACTAGCAGGAGTTCAGCTCTAGGCAGCTCTTGGTCACGTGACAAACCACGTCACCAGTGAGTTCTGGCCCCCAATTTCCCCTCCTTTAAGCAGTGAGTCTGGCACCAGCGAGCCCCGTGCCACCACCCATCGCACTGGCCCCCGTCACTCTTCCTCTACAACAAAAGCAGAAACCAGAAGTTGTCATGGCTTTCTAGTGTTTGAATTTGGCTTTCTCTAATTACAAGAAGGAGCAGCATCTTTTCTTGGATCTGCCATTTACTTACACTTCTTGTAGAAATGTCTTATCCTTTCCTTGGCTCTGATTCTCCTGCGCCCCTCTCTTAATTTTCACCTCTCCCCACATACAGTCACTACACCAAAATTGTGGGGCAGGTGGTTAGAAAAGAAAGCCCAAGTAGTAGTGAAGTTTTTATTAATCTTTTTGATACATTTATGTTCTTTTTTTCCTTCAGTTTTTATAGACTCAAGCTACAGTACTGTAATCAGAAAAGCAATACAGCTATACCACTTGGAAAAAAAGAAATTAAGTACCTATATGTATACCTATACTTATAAAGATTTCCCAGTTAATAGGGAGGCCACATTGATTCGATTAATTTGTACTGCATTAAAAATATTTTCTTTTGACTGCACAGGAAATAGCTTTCAAACAGCATATTAAAATTTAAAAGCATGCCCTTAAAAATAAAATCAGTGTGCTTGTGTTATGATTTATAAATTGATGGATAACATGAATCTATAGTGAGGTAGTTAGTGTTTTAAATATGACCATTTTAAATCAGTGAACAGCTATCCCTTTCTTTTTCCTGGCTGAACTCATAGTATTAGGTGTCAGACTACTGAGATCTTCATAGAAGACTGCTGGATGGCTTTCCTTCTGGCTTCAAAACACAGACTATATGCAGACTCCAAATTCAAATGAATCATATATCTTCAGATTCACCTTAAAAATTAGTAACTCCACAGGTCAGCCTACTCTTCTTTCAAAGTTCTTTATTTAAAATCTATTCTGAAGTTGTATGATGTAATCCATATATCATCCAGAAATTAGAGAATTCCCTGTTATTCCTTTGATAAAGTGAGACTCAATGATGGACTTTTCATTTAATTAGGACCCTGGTCCAATATCTCTAGTATCTGCTATTCATGTGCTATGTGATCCTAGCAGTGGTTACTGTTGTGAATCTTCCAGTGGAGATAGTGGTGAGGGTCCATGGGTGTCTGTAAATCACTGCAACATCCCTGAGATCTATGTCCTTTTTCCCTCACAAAAAGCACAGTTCACAGGATCCCAAGAGTTCATCAGGAGAAAGAGGCCTTTTCATTTCCTGACTTCTGTTAAAATTTCACTGAACCACCCCTACAAGCCCCTCAGAATAATCCCAGAAGTCCGGGACAAAGTATGCAGACATTAGTCCCCAGACATTCAGCTGTCCCTGCTAGGGAGTCATACTCTAAATATAGACGCTTCAGGCAGCCTCATTCTTAGAACATTGAAATATGACACCCCACTAGGAAGCTCCCCAGTGAGATGCCCTGTGGGGAAAGGCTCTTTCAGGAGGTGAGCCAGAGAGCCTTGAGTGCCTTGCTGGTGAATGAGTACTCAGAAGTTAAGAACATGTGACAACTTTCTGATTTTCCTCAAACTTTTGTAATCCAAACTTACCCACCAATCATACTCCCTCTCTCTAAACCCCTACCTCATTTATTTTGCTACCTTTGCCTTATAATGTTATTTTTCTCGCCCTTTAAACAAAATTTGAAGATTCAAGTGTCAATTTTTTGCCTGCTAAGTACTTATATAAATAGCTTTTTTATTTTTTGAATATACACATGAGAAAGAACAAAGGAGTATGTAAAGCTTAACAAAACTTCAAAAAAAATTCCACTCTCACCTTTTCTTCCCAGTATAAAATGACTCCATCCTTTGGTATATTTTCAAGTTGTTCTGATATGTAACCCCTGACCACCATTTTCCCAGCCTGTCAGACCTTCCCTGTTTGAATCCACTCCTTCTCTAAAACTTCCTAAACCCCATGGAAATTACCCTTTAACTTCTCTCACATTTTTTTGTCATTTTCATCTACAATTCCTAACAAGAAACCTTGAGACTAGTGTTTAAATTCTACTTGGCTCTCCATTCTACATTCATCAGCAAATATTTAAGGGCATGTTATTTGCCTAACCATTTCAAAAGTGAAAAAGTAAAATCCTTAAGCAGTTCCTCAGAACATTCCTTAGCCTGCAAAAGACTATGGGAAGCCACTGTCAAAAGATTTAAATCAGTATGTCATCATATGTGACCTGTAACCTATAAAGTTCCTGAAAACAAACAAACAAAAGATAGGCAGATGGTAACACTATAGTAACTGTCAAGGGCGAGGAAAAGAAATTATAGAAGATTTTTGTTATCTTAAAAAGCTATATTGCTTTTTATATTTTGTTATTTATATTTGTATTGTGTATTAGTTGATTTTGTTTGGTTGCAAACAATAGAAACCAAACCTGGTGAACTTAAACAACAAAAGGATGTTGAAGACCAAGATCACCTCTGTTGGGTCTAGGCAGGAGGAATTGATAGACTCTTTAGGGTGCCAAGATTCCACTTATTTTCAATTTTTATCAAGATTTATAGTTTTAGTAAGAGAGTATTTAAGATTTAAGATTTAATTAAGAGAGTATTGAATTGATCTGTATTGGGTACAATAACCACTCTTTTGCTGTTGGAAAAGTCTGGATGTGTAAAGTATAAAGTACACTTCCTTTCTTTTCCAAGAGAGAAATTTAAACTGTTTCAGATGTTGTTGATTTGCAGGAGCCTTTTAATAACTTTGGATATTAACCCATTGTCCAACTGTGACTAAGGTCCTAGGGTTCTATTGACCACAGCATGTCTTTAATTTTCACATTAACTGAACATTAAAGAGGTACAATTCTAAAATGTTGATGCAAAAGCTTCTAAGGCAAAGCTACATGGCTTCCATGACAGGATTCCACAGACTTGCATCTGCAGTTCAGGGTTTTGTCCTCATTGTTTCATGATCAACCCCCGATTTTGTCTGTATTCTCAGAATAGATGCTCTGTCAAAGAAAGATGTCCATTCGTAGAAAGTTACATATAAATCTAGGTCTGAATGCCCAAACTATGGATCTCTGCCTTCCTCCTATAATTAGGTCATAAGGGAAGCTTTTTCAACAGGAGTTACATCTGAATAATTTACCCTAAGAAATACATCTGTCAGGAGGTTTCTGTCAGTTTTACCAGCCCTTTATTTTCCTGTAGGCAAGCTACAACTTGGGAAACCATATCTCAGGAAGTTGCTTGCTGAGCCTGCAATAAGAACAAGGAATTAGTTCACCTCAAGAGGTAGTTTTCCACCCTGGCTGGTGTGACTCAGTGGACTGAGTGCCAGCTTGCAAACCAAAGGATTGCCAGTTGGATTCCTGGTCAGGGTACATGCCTGGGTTGTAGGCCAGGTTCCCAGTAGGGGATGCATGAGAGGCAACCACACATTGGTGTTTCTCTTCCTCTCTCCTTTCCCCTCTGTCTAA